AGATAGATAGATAGATAGATAGATAGATAGACAGACAGACAGACAGACAGACAGATTCATTTAACTGCAGCAAAACGGGGGGGGGGGGGATAAGGAACCTGTCAGCAATTTATTACTCCTAATAATCTTGCTAAGAAATTGTTACGGGTAATAAATTGCTATCTGCTCTGAATTGGACAGGACTCGAGGAGTAAAACGACGCAAACGTGTCCTGTTCGGAAAATTCGACAGCAGTCCGGAGGCGGGAGCGGTCAGCTTCCCATGTTCCGAAACGCCTCCCCCCCCTTTCCACCGGGATTCTTTCACAATTACTCACACATTTTAATAGACTACGAAGGGCGGGAAAAGCTTAACGTGGATTCACTTCGCGCGCCTCGAAGAGGAGCGGCACTTTTATTTTTCTTCTAACCGAGGCGGGTGTCCCTTATAGAGAAACGCCGCGCACGGAGGCGGCCCCTCGCTCGCCCTTTTAGGGGCCGGCCGCGACTGCCCAGCGTCGACTTGAGTTCTTTGATGGGCGGAGTTGGCGCTTCCAGCCCCCTACCCTGCCCTGCCTTGGGAAAGGGGGCCAACCTAGCGTCGCGCTCTTCGCCTCCTAACAGCGGACTCCAGCAGCATGGACGCGGGCTCTGGCCCCATTAGCTCCGCTCCCAACTTTCAAGAAGGTTCTTTCGGTTGCCCCATTTGCCTAGATGCTCTGAAGGACCCGGTCACCACTCCTTGCGGCCACAATTTCTGCTTGGAGTGCCTCGGGGCGCACAGGCATCACCCCGGGGGCGTAACAGGAGCCGGAGGACAAAGTGCCTCCCGCTGCCCCCTCTGCCAGGAACCCTACCCAGCCGACCTCCCGCTCCGTAAGAACCACACCCTGGCCGAATTGTTGCAGCTCCGACAACCCGCGCCGAGCAGTCCGGGCCTGGCTATGGCACCCGAGGAAACGTCGGAGCCGGGCGCTCCAGGGAACGGCGATGCCCACATCAAGGAGGTGCTTTGCGATTTCTGCACCGACGGGGAGAGGGCTGAAGCGGCCAAATCGTGCTTGGTGTGCTTGGCGTCCTTCTGTGCCCCCCACTTGCAGCCTCATCTGAAAAGTCCGGCTTTCCAAAGCCACCGGCTGGTTCCGCCCTTGCGGCATATCGAGGAGAGCCTCTGCAAATTGCACCTCAAGCCCTTGGAGAGCTTTTGCCGGACCGACCGCAGCTGCATCTGCCAGCTCTGCCTGGCCCAGGAGCATCGAAACCACGAGGTGGTGGCCGTGGAGGTGGAGCGGGAACACGTGGAGGTGAGTAGGGCCGTCTGAGGTACAAAGGGGCTCCTTTGTGCGCCCCGATTCCAGACAAACGACGAAGGGCGCAGCCTGGCCCGGTTGGGCGGAACAAAACCTTTAAGCTGCGCTGGCGATTCCCAGCCTCAGAATAAATGGAAACACACTGGTTGCCACTGTCGCTGGAAAGTTTTGGTGGACGTGTTAGGATTTAGGGAGCGTTGTTAGGAGTGGTGGTTGAAAAAAAAAAGAATTGCGGTTTGGAAAGTAGGGGTTTGGGGAATGCGAGAACCCGCACTGGAAAGGGACTGTAAAACCTGACGCAAAGTCCACCTAATAAAAGCCTATTTCCATTTTAAGGGTGTGGGGACGCTCAACCAAAGAGGAATGAAAGGTAGATTGCAGGCGATCGGAAGTACATTCCAGATGCTTAATTTTTAAGAGAAGAAACGTTTAAGGATTAATGTTTAGGGATTGCCTAAAGCAGAGGTCTTCAAACTTGGCAACTTTAAGACTTGTAGACTTCAACTCCCAGAATTCTCCAGCCAGCATAGCAAGTCCACAAGTCTTAAAGTTGCCAAGTTTGGGACCCCTGACCTAAAGTTTAGGGATTTTGAGGAAGGCTGTAATTACTCTAGGAGAGATGATTCACAAATATTTGTAGTTAAGTTTGGGGGGGGGGTGGATTCCTGGCTGTTTTGGAGCTTTTCTCTTATATAAAGAATGGGAAAGCATTCTGCTCAGTCTTGGAACCAAAATAGTGCACTTTAGCCCCCGTGTATAAGGCTGACCAGACAGTCTTTTATCAATAGATAATAGGGTAGAGTTAGATTTAATTATTGAGAATAATGGGTAAAGAATCCTTCTTAATTTAGGCAACTTTAATTAAGTTAAAGATTCTCCAACCTGCTGATTTCCAAGCATGCTGGGTCCAAACCAACAGGAAGGGAAATTCTGGGAGTACCAATTCCCACTTGTATGCAGGGGTCCCACATTAGGGAAATTGGGATTAAAAATTGACTGTTTTAACAAGGTAGGGGAACCACAACAGAGTAAAAGAGAAAGGGAAAGGACATTATATATTTTTTGGGCTCACAAATAACCTTCTGGGACATAGGACGTATCTGTTGCTGGTCTTAGACAACTGTAAATGGGAATGAATGAGCTTCATGGGAACCCTAATTCTGTCCTGTAATGTTTCATTGCAAAGGAATTCTTGACGTGACTATCACATGATTCTTGATAGTCATTATATACATAACTTAAGAGAAGCAAGAGGTTTAGTAGTAAAAGTCCTGGGGAATTACAGATCTGGCATGTTGAAAAGGGCACAAGGAACATTTGGCAAAATGAAGGAACTATGCAGTATTCTGAAATTAGGGAGCTGATATTTTTTTCATTTCAATTTTTCTAATTTAAAATGTTCATAATCCTCCACTTATGACCAGTCACTTAACGACCATTTGAAGTTAAGTTACAGCAAACCCCCGAAAGGCTAGCTATAATCTGGCTTTGAAATTGTAATCCTTGCAGAATCCCTATGCTCACTTGAACAAAATTTAGGCGGATTCACCCTTATGTCCAACTACAGGGATACTGCATTGCCCCTTCACCTATCTCCCCCCCCCTCAATCCTGCCCCTGCCACTGTTCCCTCTAAGGTGCGCGCCTGCACGGCCGCGCACATGGAAAGAAATCCCCGCGCAGCAGTTTCTAACTGCCGC